GACAAATTTGGATCTAATGAGTGTTGTGGATCTGTGGGAATATGCAGGACTTTGGTTTCTTCCATATTGAACCTCTCTAAAATGCGCTTGCAATATGAAGATTGGTGTATGAAAATTGAACCATYAGGTCTCTGATCAATTTCAATACCCAAGAAATGATCAAGTTCGGCCTCCATGCAGTGATTTAAACAGGAAAAAAAAAGGTTTATTAGTGGTTGTAGATGTCTACCTCATAAAACCGATTTTTTATCACGTGATGAATTGAATCACGCCGCCGTGGTCGTCGTAAAATGTTCCCAACGGGTCGCGTTTGGCAAATTGTTTCACGATCTTTCAAATAATCTCCCGATCAACATCAAACCAGTGGCACTTCTTCGTCCGTTTATAGATGACCGCAGGTTTGTTAAATGCCGACGTACCCGAGACACAGAAACACCCGATTTTATTAAGCAAATCGTCCCACATGTCTATTTTTAATGATTCGCCATTGGCACGATATCACCGGTCATGGAGGGCCGAGAATTTTGACATCTCTTATTAACCGTTCTCCAAGGGGGGGAGGATGTTCGAGATATATTCAGCTTATCGTTATCGTTTCGTGTTACGATACCGAACGGCTCGAATATAACGACCTTTGTACTTGAGAAGCTCGTCGGGCTCTACGTACCTCTCCTCCCCTCTGATATGTATATGATGTCGGTGTGTGTCCGGCGTCGGACCCCGAGCGCCTACCAGTCGTCTGAAGCTCTCCCGTGCGACGTCGTCACCTTTTTTTGGTCGTGTGCGACATCCACGTACATAACCTGCGTGTGGTCGTCGTGTTCGACGCGCCGTCTTTTTCTTACGCGTGTGGTGTTTTGTCACATCCATTGCATTAATTATATTATCTACGATTCTGGTTCGGTTGTGCGAATACGTGTAATCATGGGCAAGAGCTAAGGTCGAGTTCCGAGTGCGTTTCGCTCGGATTGTAGTCGTGATTGATCATATCTGACGCCCGTTGTACGACCGTTACATCGTATTCCGAATCCGTGGACATTGGCCGACGTATTTTGCGACGCCGGTGTTGTATATCAGTTCGAGCCGCCGACGCGGAAATCCCCATCTGTGATGTCTACCGTCGTCTGTTTTGCTCACACCGGGAATTTGAATACATTCGGTTGGCAGCATTGAATCATCGTACCGGGTGATTATTATCATTCGCATTAGTATCATTATTATTATCACTCGTATTATTCTTATCATTGTTGTTGGTGATTATTATTATTATTGTTTATGTAGCGATCTATCGATCGCATTATTAATTATTATCTTTCGGGCGCCCACCGTTTTGTATTATAATCTATGTGGTATTTATTAATTTATTATACATTCATAGCACGACGGTGCACATAAAAAACTGTGTCTTATATAAGTATATGTTGTACTGGTCACCCGCTCCTTTGCAAGTTACGTTAGTCGTTGGAGATAATCCGGGTAACAGTTATTATATATATTATTTACCACTATCTAAGGCCAACCGCCATCTCCGCAGGAGCTTATGTGGTACATTACTGGTAGCAGAGCGTGGTTTCTTTTTACGTTTATCTCGTATTATAACAAACCTTGTATATTGGTACGGCCGACAGCCGGTGCGGTTAGTGTGACATATTGCAGTTGGGTTTTCGTGGTGTTGATATTATTCCGTCGTTGTGTTAGTTATTCATTAGTAGAAATAACTTTTATATCTATTATCGATGGTCGATAGTGAACGATCAGCGGTTATTACCTAATTGCCGTCACGTACGACGCACTAATACGTATAGTATTATAACGCGTATATTTCGTATTATTTGAAATTTAATTTATATTTAGTTGTTTGTTTTTCTGTCGTATAATATATTTTTGCGATGGACGATCAGGAAGCCGGTCGCGTTAACCGCGCACTTAAAAAGGCCATCTTGCGTCGTAATGAATGTATCCGAAATATACGCGCAATACACGAGCTCGCGTGGCGTTGTATTGAGGACGAGGATTTAGTTCCACAATTGGTGGTTCTTTTGAGTGAAGTAAAAGAATTATGGACAGCGTTCACAACTGAGAGCAACACAGTTATTGATTGTTTGGTTGATTTAAGTCGAGATTCCGAGTATCCCATGGATCAGGTTGCAGAGCTACGTGAACTAACGTATTCTCGTGCCACAGCCCACCGTTACGTAAAAAAGCAACACAATATTGAGAGGTCATTTCGAAAAGGGTCCATTATTTCCCAAGTAGACTATGGGTCCCGAAAGAGTCAGTCCTCGAGGGGGGCAACATTGAAGTTAACCCCCCTGTAGTAATGCTGATATGGTAATTRACAATTCGCGCGGGTCACAGGGAGAAGGCGTTTCGGTAGACAACGAAAATTTAAGTGTGCGTAACATGTCCAATTTCAAACCGGCACGGTTGCCAGAAATTCCATTACCCATATTTCACGGTGATATTTTTAAATGGCTGGCCTTCCGAGACCGTTTTACCTCTATGGTGTCAACCAGCGCTCGAATATCACTGAAATTTATAAGTTTTATTATTTAACAGGTTGTTTGCGAGACAAAGCACTAGAAGCGATAGCCGGCGTACCGGTGTGCGGTGATAATTATCAACTGGCGTGGGCCAAATTGACCGCGCGTTTCGATAAACCGCGACTAGTAGCATCCTCACTTATCGAACAATTATTAAACGCGCCTAAGTCCGTAAACGAAACATTAATTGATTTAAACAAATTTTTATTGACCTTTGAGGAAGGGGTTTCGGTACTTGAGTCAATGAAAATTCCGGATCTGGGCGACTTCATTTTATTTTCTTTGGCATCGCGATGCTTGCCGTCATATTCAATCAAACTTTTTGAAGCTCAACTTGCGAATGGGTTCCCAACCGATGAAGATTTATTGTCCTTCGTAAAATCTCGTATAAGGTATTGGAGTGTGTACCCAGTGTATCGCGTGAGTTCGTTCACAAATCAGTAAAACAGTCCGCCCTTCAAAAATCGTATGTCAACCCGAAAAATTATAATGCCGGTGTTAATAATTTTAAGAGGCCACAGTCCTCATCGTTGATGACCAGTACGGGAACATCGAAGTCGAACGTGTCGTGTCCCATTTGCAAGGGGTCGAATGCAGTGTCGACATGCAACAAATTTACCGGATGGACCGTAGACGTTCGGGAAAATTGGGCTCGTGAAAATAGGTGTTGTTTCCGTTGCCTGCGCATTGGCCATTGGGCCCCGGAGTGTAAGTCATCTGTGCAATGTACTAAATGCCCCCGTAGACATCATCCACTGCTACATAGTACGCTGACTACGGTCATCAGTGATAGGGACAGTAACCCAACATGTAATAGTCAGTTGATCCGTGAAGAAACCACAGCACAGTCGTCTATTTTCGGTAGTAATGCGCAAAATTCATCGTCTGTCGTTCTCGGAACCGCGCTAATTCACATCCGTGACTGGGGTGGTATGTTGCACACCAAGCGCGCTTTGATTGATTCTGCGTCTCAGATAAGCGCGATCACCGTAGACTGCGCTGCCCAATTGGGCTTAAGGGTGTCTCGTTGGACAGCCCCTATTTCGGGTCTGTCCGGTACCTCAGTACAGAACGTCAAGGGGCAGGTAAACTGTAACATACAGCCCAGATTTGCGACCGACCAGATTTTAAAATTCACAGCGTGGGTATTCCCTACTATTACAGCTCAAATGCCCAGCCTGCCGATATCCGATCAAGTAGCCAATAAGTACAAAAATCTCGCGCTCGCTGATCCTTCTTTGGTTTAGTAAATAAATGAAAAACGGCTCAGCACCGGCACATTGTCCGATCGGCTCGAAAGTGGTATCGAAATATTGCTATTGAATTGCTAGATTTTGCTTGGTGATTTTTGGAATTTGCAAGATTTTGGTTTTTCCGGAAAACCGGAAAATGAAAAACGGCTCAGCACCGGCACATTGTCCGATCGGCTCGAAAGTGGTATCGAAATATTGCTAGTGAATT